TCTTTCCCTCCTCAACCTTTGTCTCACAGGTTTGTCCATGTCCCTCTACTTTAGCGAAGTTTTCTCTTATACTTGTACAAGTTTTATGAACAATGTTTTTTTTTTTTTTTTTTTTTTTTTTTTTTTAAAAATTTTTTTTTTTTTTTTTTTTTTTTTTTTGCTGTCAGGAACAACAGAGGACGAACCAGCAAGAACTATGGAACTCCCTGAAGCTTGAGACCCAAACTGGCTTCTCGTACGAGAAACCAGTCGACAGATCTGAAACTGCACCTCAGATGCTTCCTAACAACAACTCTTCAGCTCAACCAGTGGGATCCTACAGTGCAAGGGACCAAAGGAAAGCAGAGGACGGCTACAACTGGAGGAAGTACGGACAGAAACAGGTGAAAGGAAGCGAGAATCCTCGGAGTTACTACAAGTGCACCTACCCAAACTGCCCCACGAAGAAGAAGGTGGAGAGGTCATTGGATGGTCATATAACGGAGATCGTGTACAAGGGAAGCCATAACCATCCCAAGCCTCAGTCCACCCGAAGATCTTCTTCCGCCTCATTTCATTCAGCGGCGTTCAGTGCCAGCTTTGATGCCTCTGATAAGCCTAACAGCAACAGCTTTCATCAGAATGATTCCTTTGGGATGCAGCAAGAGGACAACACTTCTGGGTCTGTTGGAGATGAAGAGTTCGAGCAAGGCTCCCCTGTTTTCAGCAGAGAAGATGAAGATTGCGGTGCTGAACCTGAAGCAAAGAGATGGTAAGAATACATCATTCAAGGCCCTTCCTTTCAGTTGAAGCAAATCCGGAACCATATGTGATCATTGTATATCTGATGTTCAGGAAAGGAGAGACTGAAACTGATGGTGTAATGGGTACCGGAAGCAGGACGGTGAGGGAGCCAAGAATTGTGGTGCAGACAACAAGTGACATTGACATCCTTGACGATGGTTACAGATGGAGAAAATACGGGCAGAAAGTCGTCAAGGGAAATCCAAACCCAAGGTAAACCACATATACCAATGAAAAAAGCTTACTTAGAACCAAACTCTTGAGATTCAAAAGCTCAGATTCTTCTCATAACTCATAATGATGATGAATCTTTCAGGAGCTACTACAAGTGCACCACCGTAGGATGTCCTGTGAGGAAACATGTAGAGAGAGCATCACATGATATGAGAGCAGTCATCACAACATATGAAGGGAAACATAACCACGATGTCCCCGCAGCCCGTGGCAGCGGCTATGCCACCAATCGAACGCTCGTTGATTCCAACAGCGTGGCCCCTGTCCCGATTAGGCCATCCGCCCTTTCGAATTACCCTAATTCTCAAGCACCGTATACACTTCAGATGCTGCAGAATCCTAAGGTTGGGACTTTCGGGTATCCTATGAACAACAATAATGCTCAGACACAACAGAACTTTCACGGAGGGTTCTCAAGAGCAAAGGAAGAACCCAACGATGACTCCTTCTTTGATTCATTTTTATCATGAAAAAAATTAATCTACTCGTTGTACATCTCAGCTAACGGGGCACTAGTGATCATGCAGATGGTAAGACTAGTAGTCATAGAGCTATTTTTTCATTTGTTTTCGAGCTCCACACACTTGGGCTATGTTGTAGTGTTTGTATCATGTACCATAAGACTGAAAAAACACAATAAACCAATATAGACTTCCATCATTCTTCTTTCTGCATAAGTACTTGAGCAAAGAAGAGGAACGAATGAGTATTATTTCTCAGTTCATGCTCCAAAAAGGAACACAACCCCTTGTGACGGAAGAGCAAGAATACAAAGAAGAGACTTTTATTGAGTGCAAGCTCTATGCACACATAACGAATGACATGTACATGTATACTGAAGCCTATGAATCAGAGGCTGACAGAACATGAATCGTTGGTATTATGATACACAGGATCGAAAAGATGTATATGAAGGTTCAGATGTAAGACTGAGTTGAGAGTTTGTAACCAGAAATGAGAGCCGAGGGGGCTAACGAGAAGAAGGAAAGGATAGCCATACTGATGGCCGCAGCAGAGGAATCCGAGAAGATGTTATCTTGGCCTTCTCTGAATCTGTTGGTTAGCGGAATCGAAGCAGAAGCTGCTGATATTAATAGATACGCCACAATCTGCAATTCGATAACTCTGTATAAGTCACAAGCGCCAGCTTACAAGTGGAAGAAATACCATTTGAACACCAAGACACAGTCACTGCGCATTGACTACGGGAACTGACTGGGACAAGACCATCTAGATTCTCATTCAACTGTGAATAAAAAAAAGTTTACTGAAAATTTTGTTTCCCAAGGATCGTGATGAGACTTGTGAAATAATGGATGATTCACCGACACAAAAAAATTCTGATTATTCATTCCGTGAAGCTAGCAGACATTGCCACGAAATTCCAGGGTGTTCTTAGCTAACATTTCAACTTTAATCCATCTAGAAAAATCTTTTTCCCCTTTTCAGCAAAAAAAAAAACGAAATTTAAGGATCGAAAGGGGAAAAACGAGAAATTAACCAATGGATTGCTGATACATTGTTCAAACGTCAAGGTACCTGGTCGCCGGCGAAATCAACCAAAGTAGAGGTTCGGCGATCGAAGAACTCTCTTTTCGAAAAGTGCAGAAATGTTTGTCCAGCTGTGTACAACGTCGAGAGAATCGCAATCGCCAATAAATATCTGTAGAAATCGATCCAATTTTTATCAAAATTTCGAATTTCGACGGACATTCCCAATGAATTGAAATCCGATTTCATATCCCATTTACCATCAAACAGAAAAATTCAAATCCCGATGCGAAATATTCCCCACCCAAAAAAGTCTAGATTATAAGGAAAAAAGGATCGGAGAACACTCCAGCATCAGGAATCGCACCTGTACTCTTCGTACTCGTCGAAGTTTTTGCCAGGGCCGTGTTTGTTACTGGCCATGATGATGAAGGCGAGGAGAGAGAAGAGGAGAACCAATCCTCTAAGACACGCAGGTCCTTTCTTTATCAGATCCTCTCTCTTCCATCTCTGAGTAATCGCCGTTCCCGTCGCGGCCGTCTCCACGTCCGCAACCTCATCCGGATTTTGCTTTTCGGGACTCGACATGCCGGAATTTCTCAAAAATCGATCCTAATCCGATCAAAGAAACAGATAATTTGTGTTCCGTTGTTGTAACAGCTAAGTTTCGGCTTTTATACGTAAAAGTAGGTAGGAGGAAGGGGGCGTGGTGGCGGGAGTGATTAGGGTCTTAATCACATGATGTTTATGAGACGCGTGGAATGAGTTCGGCCAACACGTGGCGATCATTTATTGGATGAGATTGCAAAGCGGCGAGACGCGTAAAACGCATTTCAACCAGAACGTAACACCGTATCCATCATTTATTCATTATCGCATGAATTTATTAGAAATGTATTTTTTTTTTGTTGCTCTGTTCTAAATAAATTCTCAACTTTGGATTTTGTCTGCAAATACAATATCAGTGATTATATATACATATTTGGTGAGAATCGAATTTTATATTTGAATTTATCAGGAAAATATTTTCTATTATAATATCTATATATATATAATATAATGTCTGCAATTCATTTCATTTTTATAATTTCTTTGCCTTGTCGTTTGAATCTAATCATATCATATCCATTTATATTTATTTCAGAGGTATTATATATCTGAGTAACTTTTGCATTCCACATTCATTTTCCTTTCTATGTAATTTGCGTAATCACGTCGCATCGTGTATCACGCGTTGCAAGAAATGATATATTCATTAAATTAACTAATATCACTTCAATGTTAGTTACATTCCGACAAACCCCAACACAGAAAACATTCGTATATATCAAATGCTTTATTTGAGGCAAAGACAAGACACATAGCTTAGCTTGTGTCCGAAGAAATTAAGGAAAACCCAAACAGTTCCACGCTTATTACACTCTGCATGCATGCATGGAGGAATCTTGCGTTCACATGTTCAAGGAACTAAAACACTAAGTCAGAAAGAGGGCGTAAGCAGAAGAGATAGCCGAAAGGAGGAGGGAGAGAAAGGAGAAGAAAGCCATACTGGCTGCAGCAGCCGAGGAATCGCAGAATCTGACGAAATTAGGGTTGTCCAAAGAGTACTCAGGGCTTTCTCTGAGCAACATCGTCAATGGGATCGCTGAAGAAGCTGCCGACACTAACAGATGCGCCATTACCTGCAAGCTCATCATCAGACGCCGGCAGCTGATGGAATGAAAATCAAAACACCCATATAGATGTTGTACCTGGTCACCAATAGAACCAGCCAGAGTCATTGTTTTGCTATATATTTTTCCGAACACGGTCAAGACCACATATCCAGCGTTGTACAGCCCCGATATGGCCACTGCGGCGAATAAGAATCTGAAAGTCGAATCAAAATCACATTATTACAGAATTGTGTATTAACTTTTTATACATAGGACAAGTGTTACAGCTGTATGTACTTGTAGACGTCGTAGTCACTGAAGTGTAGGCGAGGACCGTGCTTGTTAAGAAGCATGACAAGGAAGGAGATGACAGAGAAAAGAAGGGCAAAGCCTCTGAGAATGAGAGATGCTTTCTCTATCAGATCCTTTCTCTTGAACTTCACCGTTATCTCCTTCAATCCCCACCACTTTGACGGCGTACTAACTGCTCCGCCGCTGGTATTCTCACCGTTAGTCATGCCGGAAAAAACACCCTTGATCACGAATACAATTGGAGGTAGCTTTATATATCTCCTTTCTGTTTTTTTAGAATTCTGTTAATTAACGGGAACGTTGATGTTTGAGACGGGAGACAAGGTCATATGTAAATGTTTTAAATCAGAAATATTATTGTATTAGTTAACGTTGACATAGACAAATTAAGTAAATACTTTTAAAAGTCAAGTTTCTATATTAATGTCTTACGCAAATAAAATTATCTTATGGGAAATGAATGAATGTATATATTACAGCTTTTTTCGTGAACCCTAGGAAACGGTCGACAATAAAAACGAGTATGTGTTAGGTTTTATATTTGTAATCTGCGCGCTGTAAGTAAATCTTTCAAGAGCCAATGACACTATCCTTAATTCACATTTCAAGTGTAAACAAAACGCACGTTGAACCATTAGTAAACCAAATTACAACAGAACCTAATTAGGTTTTGTAATAATATATATAACATCTACAATCTTTTTTATGTATATTAATTTTCCTTTTTTTTAATATGGTTTTCGTCTACCTTTCAAGATAGCCCGAACCACTATCCAAAATGACATCGCCTTCTGTTAAAACTCATTCAATTCTTATATGATTTTTTTTGGTATATTTATTATATTCTATTTTTTATTTCATATATGTTTTTAAAATGAATCGGCATTC